TTTCCACATGTGGCAGCACATCGAAAGTATGCCACCCCACCACATGGTTTGATGAATTACAAGACGGACCCTGAACTGGCATCGGTGGATTCTTCTCATTCTTCTCTGTCTGAGCCACAGACAGATCTTCTTCAGACCCTCCCGAATGTGCAAGAATCCCAACCGAAACTGCGCCTACCCACTTCACATTCTGGATCTCATCAAATAACTTCATACTATGCATATTACTGTCATCCACAAACATTACTATCCCATCCAACCTATTCTCTTTCACAACTCTGCCCCATCACAAACATGTGGATTCTTCTCATTCTTCTCTGTCTGAGCCACAGACAGATCTTCTTCAGACCCTCCCGAATGTGCAAGAATCCCAACCGAAACTGCGCCTACCCACTTCACATTCTGGATCTCATCAAATAACTCCATACTATGCATATTACTGTCATCCACAAACATTACTATCCCATCCAACCTATTCTCTTTCACAACTCTGCCCCATCACAAACACTTTACCTTGTCAAAATCACAAATCTACTAACTATATAGTTGTATTGAACTAAATTAAAAAAACTTGTACAGTAAATTAACGCGAAGTAAAACTAAAAAAACCAAATAAAGCATGATTAATACAATATACCTTAAGGCCTGTAGTCTCATTTTCACTTCTAATTTATGCCGATCCTCCCATAAAATGGGCATATTAGCATTAAATCCAATATGGAATATTTTAAGGCCTGATTTTGAAATTAGCGTGGCCGTTTCATTGGTGGCGCCACCGGCTTCCACAACAATCCAGATGAGATCATAGGGCACGTTCATCAGAGAATGCATGACCCCAGTTAGATGAAGCGTCTGGAACGTCCGAACGTACGTCGGCGTGATGGCAATCACAGTCCTAGGGCTCTTCACTCCATACTGTATCCTTTGTTCTCTCTGAACCCTCTCGATTATCCGGTGAGCCTTTAACACCTCCTCCGGATCTGGATGCGGCCAAGGCCGGATCAGTATCCCGTGCCTCCCTACCACAACTCTACTCCCCTCCGCTATAATACCATTCACCGCCTCCGTCGACGGTGTGGTGGTAGTAGATGGAAATGAAGTGTGGAAAGCAGAATATAGGTTGGCGGTAGAGGTGGTGGAGGGGGAGGAAGTAGAAAAAATGAGGAGAAATACCAAACGGGAGAATCGGAAACCAAGTACTAGACTAACAAGACAGCAAAGTCCATGTAACAGTAGCCAAAAAATCGTCGCCTGAGACTTTACTCCACCGTCCACGGCGGAGTCCAGCTGCGACGACGCACTTCGAAAGTTGTTGCTCCGGCGGCCCTGCTGCTGCAACGCGGACAGAAGCTTCATTTTTTCCTCCTTCCGGAAACCCTTCGACTCAGTAATGGAGTACCTTCAAAGATATCGGATTTTGGTAGATGGCATTGGGTGGAATTTACTTATAATTGAAATTATTTCTTCAATTTCACGATTCATTTGTTACCTTACTGTCAGCTTCAATTTCTATTTCCAATTTCTGTCCAGCTTACTGATTCTGCTTATTTTCTATAATTGATTCAGCTTATTTTGACTACACATGATTAAATTCCGATTCGGACATGGATGGGAGCTTGTCGGAGTCATATAGGGTGTTGAAATACAGGTAACAACCGGGGTAGTTTAGGAATTTCACTCAGGACTAATGCTGGTAACACAATTTACATCCTGTAATTATGGTTATTTAAGGGAAAAGTTTAAAATAAACACGATTAGAGAAAATTGCATTGTTCTCCCCAACTTATTATATCAGTGGCAAATTGATCCTTAACTTTTAAAAAAAGTAAAATAATCCCAAACCGCTACTCACATTCAACGTTCCAAAAAGCATAAAGCATGTCTTGGAGTGAAGTCCAAGTTTTAAGAGTCTAGACGAGGTTTAAGTGTTAAAAAAAAAAAATAATAATAATAATAATAATAAATTTAATATTATTTGAAATTTTTAATTCTAAAAATTACTTAACACTTAAAATAATGCATAATAAACATCTAAAATTATAAAATACTATATTCACTTAATGATATCTGCAATTAATTAATTATATGATTTTCAAGTTTTCGAAATGCAAAAACTAAGCTCCTATATGGTAGGGATTAAAATTAAATTTTTAGTAAATTTTGATAAAAAAAATTGAAATCTAATTGTGGGATCCATAAAAAATGTGGTTAATATTTATGGTTCGACTTTAACTTAAATTAAAATATGATTTAAATCAGTACCAAATACGGACTTAAATATCTTTCAGATTCAATTTTCAAGTTTTCATTTCTAGCATTTGTATAGATAAAATCATTTAAAAACTTAAAATTAAAGTCAAATAAAATACATTTAAAAAAGGGAAAAAATAATAAAATGCTTAGACACATTGCAGTCAATTAGTTAATTCGTGCTTACTGTCAAGGCAGAATGTTTTCTCTCAAGTCTAAGCACGCTTTTTAGAACACTGCTTACATATGATCATAAAAGAAATGATTCACTTTACATGTCACCATTGGATCCTCCACCACCTCTCCACAATGCACCTACTCACCTGCTACAGAGTCTGTCACCTAACATATAAGAGAATAAAAAAGAAAAAGAATCATTGACCAATTTGTTCCTTAACAAACTTTGGAAACCAACTTGCCATTTAGATAATAATTTAGACCAATAGTGAAATTATATCTCATGATTAGGTGGATTTTATTATATTAATGGTCAATTATCAGTCGAGTTGAGCCATCAAATTTTTTTAGTATAAAGGCACGAGAAAATTGAGGAGAATTGGACACTTGTGTCATTGTTATATATGGGGTCAAAATTAATCAAACTTGAGTACTCAGTCTCGATGATTTCAGATCGACTCCTGACCTAATAAGTCGCGATTTGTTTAAAAATAAAAATAAAAATAAAAATAATCTGATATTGAGAAAATGGAAATGAATCAAATAACACGATAAATTTGAATGATATGTTAACTATATAGTACGCAACGTAATTAATAAAATTAAAATATATGAACAGTTATATACGTTATATTCAACTCAACTTATCAAACATGCTGGTTGATATTAATGATTTCAAAGTACTAATAAGTTTGTCCATATCACTTAGGTATGGTCTTGTTATATTTGATTATTCTACGTATTTCTAATTTATGGATGTTTCGTACATATTTTCATCTAATTTATGGATTTTTCAAGTTGTGAATAAATGATTTTCGATCGGGTTCTTTTGTTTGTTAGCATTTATGGATGCATTTATCAAATGGATCGTCTTACAAAGAATTGATAAAAATACAACACAATTACGAATCTTCTCCAACCGAGAAAGAATGATGGAGCCAAATACAAATCCTTTTATTTCCTTTGTTGTAATTTATTACTTATACCTTTAATAATCAAGGGCTTTAACATCTTTAAAGTAGTTTAGGATTTTTCCTACTTAGGTTATTCATATTCAAACACTTTTAAGCTTGTCGTTTTCGGTTGATTGTTTATTGAATGAAAAAAATATAGAATTTGGAGTTTTCCAATTTTTTATGATTCAAATTGGTATTTGTTAGAATCAATGATTTGTTGGTCAAGAATCAAATTTCAATATTCTTGCGTGAATCAATGAGTGTTGATTATATTCTTATATTTTATTTGAGTCAACGGGCTTTGGCCACGGTGGTTATTTATTTTGGATTATATCATCGAATTAAATACTTTCTTGGTAGAGGTTATCTATACAAAGAATTTCTATCTCAAAGCAAGTACATTCATGATAGGTGCCAAGGATGCTTCTACTCCATTAGCCTTAATGATCAAATGTGATTGGTAATATTCAATATATTTCTTTTACTCGTCTAGATATTGGTTTTGCAGTCAATAAACTTTCAAAATTTATGCATAAGCCCAATGTTGTTCACTGGAGTGAAACAAAACTTTTTTTTTTTTTTTTTTGCAGCAAAATTTATCCGAAAAGCTTACATGTTTTTTTCTCATTTATCTTGGCCACAACCCTATTTCTTGATGTTCAAAGAAAAAAAGATATGTTGCTCAATCTCGACTGGATCTCTATATCGAGTAGTTGCTTTTGCAGTACAAAACTCAGTTGTATAGGTGTAGCTCTCTCGCAACCACTTGATATATTCTTGGTTGCTATATTACAATAATTGGCTCCAATGTTCCAATTCAATTATTTCACTCACAAACAAAACATATTGGAATTGATTTTCACTTTGTCCGTGACAAAATTTCCATCGGGCAACTGCACATCTTTCACCATCAACAATGGATCAATTGGTTGATGGTCTCACCAAGCTTCGCATCATCAATTGTAACACCATCTTACAGGATATAATAGAGAGAATATCTCTTCCAAAGTTTTACTATGTCTAAACAAGGAAGATATCACCTAATACTTTCATATTATTTTATATAATTTAATAGCCAATATTCTGTTGATTTACTCAATTTATTTGTAATCATTTAGTGATTTAGTTTCCAAAGCTGTAGATGGTAATTACTTCAATATAGTGATATGTAACATATACACTGCCATGAACACAGGAAATGCAGGTAACCTTTCTTCCTCTTTGTACTTTATCTGTTACAAATATAATCCCAGAGGTGTAGAATAAAGGATTACACCAACCTACATGAAGATGTTAATGGAAAATTTTGGATTATATAAAACAAAATGTGATATACTGCAAAAGAAACAAAGACAATTAGCGAGTTATCTGAAAATCATCAAAACAAACCATTTTGTTTTTGAATTCGTTAAAACACTTTCTACTAGAAGAGCAAGTATAACATGAGGATTTTAAGTTCTTTGCTCTAACAGATGAGCTATCCCGACCATTCCCAATGTAACGTCCCATCCTCATTTTATTACATAACTGGGGTCTATGTCAATTAAAAGAACAAGGGGAGATGACAAAGTTTTCTCCAAGTCTTGAAATTTATTGGATCTTCAAAAAGATGACTTTCTCAATCATCCACTAAGAGAAGATAATGCATGAAATGAAATGTGCAAATTCTATTTAGTTGAGTAGAAAAAATCCATATCCATATCACATCCAGTGCATCTAACCACACAGTCCCGGACAGATTTAAATATGAACAAACACACTAAAATCCCATTCATAGTACTATGTTTCTTTTCAATATGGAACCATAGCATCCAAATCTCCAGTATTTTATCTCTTTGATATAGAAACTAGATTTCTGATCGCTGGATTCAAACTTCACCCCACATGGAGACTTTTAGCATTTTAGCAAATATGATACATCAAAATAAACTCTCAGTGTTTAAAGCAAGCCAAAATTGTCTACATATATTCTCCTTCAATCTACAAGATATATGTTCACAATATTCTCAAAAAATGTTAACTCGTAGTACAAATTTCGAATGTCAAACTCTCTATAGTGGACCGTTTAATTTGCAATGCAGCTCTCTCAACATTTCCTCTTGTAATAATTCAAACCTGAATAATCAAAACAATTGGCTAGTCAGGACAAAAGTTAAAAACATTATCCTGGGAAAGATGCTAATATAATAGTAATGTAGCAGGTTCTTACCAGATTACCATTACCATCGACAACAAGAAGTTGGCGACATTTTGTCTCAAGCAGTATACTGACGAGTATGAAAACACATTTTCAATTTTGTAGTCCTTATTTGTTAAGCATGGCAATGGTATGTCAAAATCAAGTAAAAGGTGCGGAACCTTGTGGCATCATCAAGATTGGTGGATTCACGAACAATTACTGGAGCTGGTGTCATCAAATCACCAAGACACCAACCATTTTCCCATTGATTTTGCTTAGCAAATTTTGCACTTCATTGAATGTCTGGAGGTTTATTCATTATCTGAACATTAAATAAACACGTCTTCTGTCATCAACACCACATGCAGGCCAAGAAGCATACGGATAGTATCATTAGATAAATGGCGAAGAAGGTCTTTTTTTATGCAATATAACAGACTCGCAGTCCTGCAGCATGTCCAATTTTATCCTATCTATTAAAGTTTAATCGTGAGTATTTTGTCTCTCAATGAGTATTTCTGAATCTAGATGGAACACTAGACATTGTGTATTCAACTTGACGGAATCCCCTTCAACTTGCATTGGATATGGATTTTTTTGAACAACGTCTATTTTTGCTTATGTAGCACAATTTTTTAAGCAATCTACTATTGCGTTAGAGATGTTCTCAAGCAACTATACCATTAAGTATTAGCAAAGTAAGATCTTATTATTTTGGAATCTAACCTACATTCATAGAATGGTCATCGATTGTGAATTACATTGGGAGTAGTGAAATCAGAATTGAGTTTTTGTGTTGATTAATGATTTGTACAAACATTTGGATCTCTACTTATAATACAACAAGAAAGAACAAAAGAGAAAACATAATCTCCTAAAAAAGGAAAAGAAAAAAATTTCTTAACTAAAGATGGACGAATAAGGTACACAATATAAATCACAATCATCCCAAAAATTTCGAGATTTCTATATTCTCCCTTAAGTTGGATTATAGATATTTATCATATCCAACTTGTAGATGAAATCATTGAAATTTTGCCGAGGTAGTCCTTTAGTGAAGATATCTACAGTTTG